AGCAGGAACGAAAACATCCCTGTGTTATCAGCACTGTTCCCAGCACAAATCCAAACCACAGCCCCATAGCAGCTGCTGTGAAGAAAATTAACTCTACCCCAGCCACAACCAGCACAGAAATCTAACAAAAAACTTATCAGTGATTGCAATGAGACTATGGAACAGACTTCAAAGTCTCCTATAAGAAGTGCGCTAGAAGCAAAACATCTTAGAGTATACTGTAGGGGGGAAAAAGAATGGAAGCTTTCTGTGGAAATGGACAAGTTTAATAAGCCCTTTCATCCTTCATGTTTGTGATTGAATTTTGGTTTATTTCAGTCTGAAATAAAAGCTTTATTCTTCAAGGGCAATAACAGCATGGTTTTTGTAACTCCTTAGCTTTCAACAATAGAGTATAATATTTTGGTTCACCATTGTGTTAAAACTGCAAGTGTTTTTCTGACTACCTTGGCATAATGATTTATTAGTGTTGACACTCCAGGGTTGTTTGTCAGTAGAAGTCAAAAGCTCAGGTTTTGCTCCTTCTGGCAGATGACTTACAAATAATGCAAATCGCTATAGCGCAGGTTATAACCTAATTATGTTATACATCTTGAACAATGGTAATTTCTGTAAGGGAAAGCTGTCTAGCATTTTAGTTGCTAATGTATTTTTTTTCCTCCTTTTTGTATTCTACAAAAGAAACCACATTAAAAAGTGATAGTATGTGTGCAGGTTTTGCTGCTGTGCAGCTTATCTGCTTGTGCTGCTAAAATATGTGAAAGCAGCATAGCAGTCAAATTGCCTATATTTATATGGTTAGTGGCTTTTCTAATGCAAAACTGATTTTTTATTTTCAGGGCTTTAACAATCTGTTTATAATAATTAGCAATAAACTGTAACTTCACTTACAGAATTTCATAGAAGACTAGAAAAATTTCATGTCTTTGTTTTGCCCAGGTAAATCTAACCTGCCAATTCAAGATACTTTTTAATCGTATAGCTCATATTTTATATGCCATTTTAGGAATAATTACTTGGTTAGTACATTTTTATCCAACATTTTCGTTAGCTTTTGCTTCAAGTGAAATTCTCCTTTTAATGTATTCACGCCTCTCAGTTGCATTGATAAGTGCTTTTTATGTGTCTGTATTCCAGCTTCAAATCAAGGCAGCTCCACATAGTTCCCTGCCGACCTGAAGAAAGTGGCGATTCTAACTGTGGAGTGAGGGCGATTTCAGTCCAGAAATCATTCCTTTGACATCAAATGGCTGAAATTGCCCAATGACTTTTTTTTTTTTTCCTGAAAAAATAACAGTATAACTTTTGGCTTAATTCCTTTCTGTTTTGCTATAGATATTTGTATGCGTGTATATAGATAAGCCCATGCATATACATTCTGTAGACTTGGCCAACACAAATCCTGCATTAACAACAGTGACTGGACTTGTGTGTTCACACACCTTGAGGCAGACTTTCCGCCTGCAGAGTGACAGATTGAAATGCAGATCAAGTCAATCAAGACAAAGTTCACGTGCTGAAGAAATGACTCTGATTCATAGTCCACAGAATCCACAGCCTAAGGAGACCACTACTAGCCTGATCACAGTTGGTTTTCCTATCAGCTGTGTTTAGCACAGAGTAAGGACCAGACTATCAAAGATGAGTCAGGGTTGAGGTGTGGTGGCAGGCCAATATTGGGAGTTGTGCTTTATCGTATCTGAGGTTTGAAGGAAGACGTCTGCTTTTAGGACTGTCAGCACTTAATTTATACACACGCATGCACACTTAAGGCTTATTTAAAAAAACAACCTTCATATCACCTATGTGCCGTTTAACTTTATTTACATGTCAACAGGAGCCGAGAAATCTAGCTACATTTTTAAGCTTCTTGGTTCTTGTTAGATACTGCTCGCTTAATTGAAGTTTTTATACCGAGTTTTACGTAACATCTCGTAATGATCTAATAGAACTATAAGCAGTGCTACATAGTTCATTTGGGCTGCGTGTCCATGTGTTGTATTGCTCACACCTTATTAGTCTTCAGCAAATGTTCCACTTTTCTTTAGCTTTGGCAAGCTGCTCGGAACACCATTTCCTTCTTTTCATTCTGGTGGAGTCCAATTGTTCTTTGCTTATACTACAGTAGCCTTTCCCAGAATTTAGCCTGGAGTTTTTATACACTGGGGAGTTTCCAGTGTGTTTAGATTATAAAATGATTTCCTAGTGTGACTGTGACGGAACCGTGCTTTCAGATAATGCTGTCAAACTAGATTTCTGTGCTATTTTTCTGTGTTTCTTTGCGGTATTTTGCTATACAGAAATGATGCGTACAATCATTTTGTCTCTTAAAGTAATATTTTTCAAATCATCCTCCCAAATAGTTAGGATTGTCCCAAAACTTTTTCTTGTTCTGTTTCTCATTAGGTTTGTGTAGATCAATTGGTGTAAGCAACTTTCTTATCAGTCATCTTGAGCAACTAAAGGAAGACTGTGTGATTACTCCACATGTTAATCAGGTGAGTGGGTAAATATATTTAAAGTATCTGGGTTTGGGTTTTTGCTTTGGTTTTTTTGGTTAATCATCTCCTCCCCACCCCTGTGCCTGAAAGAGTACATCCAAACTAGCCTTCGTCATACAATTTCTTCTCTTTCATTTCTATATGCATATTGAAAACCATTCAGGAGGATGACCTGAAGTGAGGGGGCGGGGGAAAGTCCTTCCTCCTTTCTTTTCCCCAGTTTCTCCCAGGCTACTTGTTTGTGGCTGGTTTTAAGGCACAAAAAAATGGTCCACATGCCAGTTTTTTGATGATAAAACAGTTTAGAAATAAAACTCAAGGAGCACTGAACATTTAGCATCTCCAGAGTGAACAAGGTTTTGGAGAGCCTCTGTTCAAATACTATATATAATTCCTCTAAGCAGCACTGAAAACCTCAGGTGATTACATATCCATGCAAGGGTGCTGCTTCCCTCGCTCCCCCCCTTATTTCATAGTCGTATTTTAAGATCACATTAAACTCAGTGAAATTCTCATTTAGGAAGGTCCTGCGAGAGCCCTGGCAAAAAAATTTTGCTGCCCTAGGCAGATAAAAAATGGCAACCTACATACCGGCAGACTTCCAGGACGCTGACAACTATTCCCTTGTTGCAGTTTTCTGCCCACAGCTGTGCTGGAAGTTCACACTCCCATTCCTACCACCTCCTGCCAGCGAAAGTGTGTTTGTGCTAACATAGAACTGGGAACTGGAATGGATGAAGTGCAGGCGCATGCTTTTCCCCTTTGTACAGGTGGTGAGGATTTCTGGCAGCTGTTTGTGGTTTAATGTCATAAACAGCCACAAGAAGGTTGCTCGGAATGTGACTGTCAGAACCTAACATCTCTGATTTTTGCTGTCCACTAGACTAAAGGTTACTAAAGGACAACTACGAGTAACGTTAAATTCACGTAAAACCATGTAAAATATTTAAATTCAGTTATTCAAAATAAGCCATTGAAATATGTCTTAAGATGGGCAGGTTGATGACTGTTTGCCAAGGTTCAATTGTGTCTCCTTTTCAGAAAGACACATCGTCAAAGTCTTACTGGAGTTTGGCATAAGTTGTCACAGTCTGTTAAATGAGAACAGCCTTTCGGTGCGCTACTAAATCACTGCAAGGAAAATAAAACGTAATCGTGGATTTGTTTTGAAATTTCCTCTTGCCCACAATGTCAAAATGCTGCCAGTCTTACTGTGTCAGTAGTGGTAATGGAGAAAAGTTGTTTCTTGATACTATTTGACGGCATCTCTTTCGCTGTGACTGAAAAAGAGGAGACAAAAAGTTGAGACGGTAGTGACACTGGGGGGTGGGAGGGTGGCCCTGCTGTATTCAGATAGTCACTTCTTTAAGGTGATGCACAGCATTGTTCCGAATCAAAACCAAAAAAACCAACAATGAACTATCCATGCCACTGCAAACTGCTCCACTTTGGACAGTTTTGTTATAGCATTAATTTACGCTTTTTAGAGTTACGGGAATCTTATAAACCATAGTTCAGGTTATCCTCAAAAGAGGATGTTTCTTGCTTAGCGTTGGAGAGTTGCTGAGTCTGATGGTTATGAGATTACTTAAGCACTATCAAATAACTAATGAATTCCTAAATTTAAATTGGGAATGGAAGTGCTATACTGAATTCTTATTTCACTGCCCAGAATTTATAATACAGAAGAACTTTGCTATACTTATGCATAAAATAGCATACTCTTTCAATGAACTTATTTCTAAATACAAAACATTTGCAAATAATAATTGTGTACAAAGTCTAAATATTTAAGAAACAAGTGAAGGAAAATGACTTCCCTCTTAGCTGTGTTAAATTTGCATAAAGAATTTAGGGTGTTCTTACAATTCCAACAGTTCTTATGATGTTAAAATTGAAAGTTATTTTTTTCTGTGAAGAGGAGGAAGTAGGAAGGTGGGAGAAAGGAGGTTCTTTATTATGCTTTTATAGCCTTTGCAAACCAGATCGTAAGCAATGCTTCTATTTTACAAACCAAGTTGTAAGTACTGTCTCTCTTGGTTCCTGGAAAAAACAATACAAGAGTATTGTTAAGGTATTTAGTAGTAAGCAAGCACCTTTTAATATTACAATCTACTATCAAAAATACTGCTAAACACTGTGTAAAATGATGATAAATATTTTATTCTAGCATCATGTAGAATGAAACCTACAACCTAGAATTTACAGGTTTGTATTCCAGAGTTTGTAATTGACTTGGCCGTGGTAAGTTTGGATTTACGCTCAAGGAAGTCTTTGAAGTCTCTTTGAAGACCCCTATGCCTGTCACTCATTAGGGGAAAAAATTATGTTTTATAAGAATTTAATTAATATGTTTCATTTAATAAAGTGATACACTGAAACCAAATATAAACTGTTCCTCTCCGAATTCCATGTAGGAATGCTCATCAGTATTTTTTTGTGCAATATTTAGAAGTGCAAATTGCTGTGTAATGACCTCAGAGAGATTTAGTAATAATGTTAATATTGCCATTAATATTGAGCTCTATTATGTACATTTGTACAAGGTAGAAATGTATTTTAGTACTTTGAGGCATTAGGAAACAACCCCTTTGTACATAAACTCACCTGAACTGTTCCTCTATAGAGAAAACATTTCTAGGCTTGTATTTCAGTTTTATAAAGAGAAATAATTGTAAGACTCTGCATTCCCATTGAGAAACTGTTCAGATGCAGGGAAGCTTTACCGGGTGAAAGGAACCCAGGGTGGAAAGCGTAAGGCTTTTGTATACCATCGTCCGAGGTACGACTTTCTAGGTCCGTGTGTCAGGATTGTTACTAGGCTCAACTTTTCCCCATTGCACTATGACTGTCGTAAAAAAACCAGCGCGTACTTAGAGTTCCCCTGTGGCTGACCAAGTGGCAGCTGTGAAGAGTTCTGTAACGTGAACTGCAACCTGTTCTATTAAACAAATGCCAGTTTTTACACACAAATCACCCGGGGTAGAGTGCCAGAAAAGATCAAGATCTTCCTCTACCACCATATGACGGACAGCCCTCGCCTGAGAAAAGTTTGATGACTAAAATAGCAAGGGTGGGGCAAGCCAGGAAGTAGGAATTATTATTTTGAGGGGAAGCACATGCTGGCCGCTCACCCTATGCCTCTTCTAGCTCAGGATGCTAGTCCCTTGCGTTCAGGTGCTGCTAGAACCTTCCAGAAAGTTTTCACAAGAAAAACAAATTCAAAAGTGCTTGTTTTATTTTCTGCATTTGATTATTTGAGCAATGTATTTCAGAAGGTAAATACTTGCTGCTACCAGCACACGACTGCATGTGCCAAAATTCAATTCACAAAATTCGGGAGTCTCTTGATTCGGGGAAAGACATGAAGTATAATCTTCCCAGGTGGGAAGTAGTTGTTGCTGTGTATTCTGCTTGTGAAGCAGGCAGGTGACGCCTCAGCATGCTGTTCTTGCTTTAAGTATTTCTGGTGTAACCTGGAACTGTGCTGCCTAGAAATCTTATTAGACCAGCAGGTATATTCTGCTTGCAGTTATATTAGGAATAAATGCTGAATAAGTCACCTGATGCCGTAGGGGTGCTGCAGATTTTTCAGCATTTGATCCTAAATACATCATTTTTTATTTAATATTTTCCAGGCTATGTTATTTGTTACACTTAGTGTAAAGAACGTCTACTAACATTGCTTATTACTATTGTAATAATTGAGTAATACACCCTGCTTGCTCTTTCTTTTTTCCCCTCATAGTTTTGTGTAAAAACAATGAGACTATTTTCTGGTCAGCTCAGGTGCAAACAAGTGAATAACTGTATGACCTAAACACGGGTCTTACACACATATAAACATGAAACGCAAAGGCTACTGAAAGGTCAAGAAACATCAAAGGTTGAAGACATGGATGTGTCTGCTGCTTGAACCTTGTTCCCGAGTCCACCTAGTAATTTAGATCATAGCAGCTTTAGGCTGACTCAGCCCAGCCTTCGAGGGGCACAGTTTTTTCTTAGCGCATATTGAATGACTGCCAGCCTATTGTTCCCGACTATTGTTGTCTGAAAAGACAACATGTACTAAAGATGAGAAACAGGAAATGTTCATTTGTCCTCTTTGTGGCAGAAGAAATTTTCCAGATGCCATGTGTTGAGGTAATTGTTCAGAAGAGTATTTTTCTTCAAAATGCGCAAGAGTTAGATGACTGGAACAATGGTGACGGCCAGTCACAAAAATACATCACGTGATTATGTCTTTCATGAAGGAAAACACTACCCATTTTCATTTGACTGCAGAGGATAAACTGTGAAATACTTACTTTTAAGTAACGTAGTAAGGAACATTACAGAGCCTCCCTTTTGGCTTTTGCTACATGCCAGGATACGTGGCTCTTCTGAGACCATTACTTTCCAATAACTTCTGTTTCCTTTTGCTTCCAACAACTATGTCTTTGGAGCTTGTTACTTTTCCTCTTTTAACTGGCTCTTGGCAATTTGTGACCTTCCTTCCTACGAAGGGTCTCCTTCACACTTCATTCCACAGCGCGATTGCTTCCCTGCATAAGCTGTGGGTGACGTCACGCGCAGGACACAGGATTTTCCATGGACAACCCATGCCAACAGGCTTCGCTTCCGAGGTCAGGCCCTCATCCCAAGCAAATTGTTCTGGTTGGTCTCTTGCAAACCCAGTCCCTGCCCCTCCCCTTGCCCGTGCAACTCAAAGATCATTAGTAAAGAAACAGGAAAGGACGTAGATTTGGGGAAGAGAAGGTAGTCTCAAATCACCAATAAAAATGACCTAATGCCGACTTCCTCTGTGCATTTGCATATATTTCTCAAACACGGAGCAGAACACGAGTGCAAGTCCAGCTGCAGGTAGGGCAGACAACTGCTCCGTGCACCTTACTTCTGGGGGAAGCATAAAATACGTAGTAAACTATTGTGTCAATTAATGGCAAAATGCTTGTGGATTAATATCCTTCCCATGTCTTCCAAAACGGATAACTTACATCTGTCTCCCAGAAGCAGTGATTTCACTCGTGGTGTGTTTTTAAAACGAGAGAAAAAAATATTTTCATTTATCAACGATGTTTTCTACTAAATGTACTCTCAAGGTTTTTACTGAAAGTTTATTTCCATTTACCTAAGGTTGAATACCACCCTTTCCAACGACCTCAGGAGCTGGTGGATTATTGTAGGAGCAGAGATATTGTTTTTGAAGGCTACTGTCCTTTAGCCAAAGGTGAAGCACTCACTCATCCTAGTGTCATTCAGCTGGCAAAAAAATATGGCAGAACTCCAGCACAGATTTGCATACGCTGGAGTATCCAGGTAATGGAGGGTGGTAATAAAAACGTGTCTCCTCTCTCAGGAAAAAAAAATGCAAATAGTTTGGGGTTTGTGCATCAAACCAGAATTTATACAGAAAGTATTTTTGCCTTCACTATGTTGATATCGTCTGAACTAACTGTGCTGTACTGGAAATGTGGAACGTAGCACACAAAGCATGGCAGTATTTTAAATATGCAAATAATCTGATTGTAGAGGATGAAAAGAACCACCAATAAAAGAGATGTTTTCAAGCTAAATGTTACAAGCAGTATGAGGCATTGTTCCATTTCTATCGCTCAACACGAAGTACTAAGCAGTGCAGTAGTGCATTAAGTTGACATAAACCACATAATCTGCGTTGGAATTTAATGCAGTGTATATAACTGCAATTAAAAATAGTGTGTAGAAATGTGAGCGTCCTCTGAAAAATGAAATTAAAACCTCAGAAGGCATGAGGAATGTCTTGAAATGTTTTGAAGAGAGATTATTTTCTTTGAAACTATGTAAATTTTAATGATGAGAAGCATTATGTTTTTCAGAATGGGATTGTCACTATTCCAAAGTCCACAAAAGCAGAAAGGATACAGGAAAACTGCAAGGTAAGATTTGGTTGTGCACTCAAGTCTGACTAACATCTGAGTTACTGTTTTTAATACTTTGGTTTGCCTGCCCATTTTCCTATACCAGTTTTCTATTGGGGCAACTCAGTTAAAACTGGCAAATTATACTACCATAAATTGCTTACAATATGGTAGAAAACCATATCAAAACCAATTTGATTCTGCCAATCAAAGCAAATGTCAGAAATCAACTGGAGAGCTAATCACTGTGGATAAAAAAGATACCCATAGAAAGACCTTTCATAGTTGATTTTTATTATTGATATTTTTATTTATTACTTGGCTGATTGTAGAACACCCTGATCTGGTTATGGATAGGTCCTCTCTGTGACAGGCACACAGGTCAAAGGGAAGGAGTTTGTGTGCTATGCATAACACCGTATGAAAGCTGTAAAGCTCTCCTGGGGATATCCCACATACAGACCTTCTGAGGAAATCATGGTCCTGCCAGAGCTGACTCTTCCCCTGCCTTCTTCCTTCTACTCAATTTGCAGAGAAGGTCCCGGCATGAAGGGGATGGACAAAGAAAAGTGGGGAACGAATGAGGATTGGCAGCACGATTCCCCCCCACCCTGTTTTTATTTCCTTGTCACACCAAATGTTTTTGATTCATTCATTTTTCTCTCCATTTCTCTAATCTGAGAAGCGTGCTTTCTTTGGGGGAGGAGAGGGGAAACCACAACCACCTTATTGTTACTTCCAGAAATATCGTAGGGGTACGAACTGTTTGGCAAATCAGGAAGAAACTTTGCAAGAAGATAGCAAACTTCCGTCTGCTAGTTAAATCACTGTGTGGGCAGGTGTAAATCAACTCACATGAATGAGGATTTCTCCTGGTGGCTGTGCCTCTTTATATAGCTCCTGCCTTGACTGACTATTCCGACATGCACACTGCCTGTGTGTACAAACAAGCACAGCTGTTTGTGGTACTGTATTGTGAACCAGATCAGAGAACGCAACCGGGCTAAAAATCCTTCCTTATTCTTTTTATTTGATTTTATTTTCCCCAATGATATTTTAAATCCAGATTCATTCTATTTTTTACAGACTTTACTCTGTGGCCCCACCAATTCATTTCGCACAACTGAGGAAACGCATTGCAGCAAAACTTAAAACACTTAGGATGGAGAGGAGGAGGGGAGAACTGGCACAGTTATTCGATGTTGTTTATCGCATCTCCCATTTTTTTCTTTCCCCCATGCCAGTGTGTTGGCCTGAGTCTTTACCACCTCTAGTCAAGTTGGTGGAAGCATGGACCTCATTAAGCCCTTAGTATATAACATATTATATAGGATTTCTGCTTCTGGGACTGGTCCTGGTTTAGGTTTAAAAAGCTTGAGCACTGAGGTTTGACTACAAGGGTCATTCCAGCAGACAGTGACTGCTGGATAATGCAGGATGGGAGGAGCTCATTTGGCAGCAGTTCAGGCTCCACGGGATCTTTTTATTGACTATGGAGGAGCTCTGACAAAGACAACAGACCGACTTAAAGCAACTTCAGTTCTGAAGCGATAACGTCTGAATAAGACACCTGTTAAGAAAACACTGACACCGTCATTCATGTTGCAGGTCTCGCCACAGGCGAAGTCGGTGGCTGGAAGAACCTGTGCATGAAGACGGGTGGTTGCTTTCAAGTTTGAGTTAGTACTGAGGCACTGTAGCACTGTATCTGTTTCTCTATTAGCTGATCCATGAGTGTTTTGTCTAAGTACACATAGAAAAGATAGCTATACTTCAAGGTCAGGTTGAACGGGGCTCTGAGGAACCTGATCTAGTTGAAGACGTCCCTGCCCACGGGAGGGGGGTTGGACTAGATGACCTTTAGAGGTCCCTTCCAACCCAAACTATTCTATGATTCTATGATACAGCCTTTGGTTTGCTAGCTTTGTGAATGTCCTGCTACCTTCTAGTCGTTCTCTTTGGCCAAAGTTCTGGCGAAAAGGACTGTAACACTCTAAATTGAACGTTGGGATAGAAGTGAAATACTGAGCTCAGGTTTCCAGAGGGATTGCAGGCAGGGTCTTCATATACCTCTGGCAGCGACCATATAGAGTGCTGTCAAAAACAGCTTTGATACTACCGTTGTCTTGGACCCTTGCCTGAGGCCAGCGTGCTACAAAACCATCTTAACAGAGTCTACAAATAAAAATGAGTCACAAAAGGAGCAAAGGACCCAGTGGAGCCTGTCAGCTTAACGGAATATTTGTCCATGACAAAATATAAGAAGAATTTCCAGAAGGAAAAATACAGAAAAAATCTGCCTCACATTTAAATGAATCTTGGTCAGTTTAAATAACAGAAACGCTCCTGATTCTCTCTCTGTTCGTGATGTTAACTATATACGCATTCCCATAGGTGTTTGATTTTACAATAGCAGAAGACGATGTTGACATTCTGAATGGAATGCATGACGGGAGGCATGTTTCCTGGGACCCAAGCCTTATTGTGTGAATGAAGGTTTGAGCTTTTTCCTTTGTCAGTGATCAGTGAGTCACAGCATGTAATTTAAATTCAGGGAAGGTTACAATAAGAATATAATCCTAAGATTAATGTCTGCTATTAATGATAACTGATTTGAAATCCTTAACATTGATAACAGACGAGATCTTTTTGAGGGTAGCACTTTTGTACAGAGATCTTACATTTCCGTCTCAAATCCTGATCCGTAGTTCATTGAAGCCCATGCAAAGCCTCTTATTTATGCCATTGACCCTGCATCAGGCCATTTAATCAAAGAGCATGAGGAGATAATCCCTTCTTTAAAAATGTAAGAAAAAAAAATGCTATGTACTAGTGTACAACACAGGTGTTAAGTACGAAATAATTTTCCAAGTACTTTATTAGAGGGATACAATGTATGAAGAAGAAAAAGCTGGGTGAAAAAAATATGTTAATACCATTATTATTACAATATTACTGTACAATAAACTGCAAATCTCCATCAAAAATATAATCTCATTGTAATAAGCAATATCTGAGCATCACCAAAAAAAGTTTTATGCATATTATTGCATAATAATGGCATTGACCCAGAGAGTTCTATGCATATTATTTACTAGCCTGTAGGTATAACAAAGTAGAAATCTTTCCAGAGAAGCCCACGTACAATTAAACTTATCTGCATGGCTAAGAGCTGGGCAGCAAGCTCTAAGAGCCAAAGAGGCATCTCTGTTACTACTGATCATCTTCTCTTACTGGAAATTCTGGTGAGTTTTGTGTAGCTTTTAGTGAGAATTAGTTTAGCTTTCATTTTGGATTTGTCCAGGAAATCTCATTAAGAGCCTATACTGTTCCTCACATTTTTGTATAAAGTATGTATGTATATATAGAGATAGATGTAGATACAGATATATGTAGTTTACAGATCTGTTTTGAGAAATACGTCTGCAGAGTCTTTTACCGGCTGAGTATTCAACTTCTAGTCACATTGGTTTGATATTTTAGGAGTTCCTGTGTCTAGAAAGGTATGGAAAATCTGACTATGATTTACATTGTGTGTGGACTTCCTGAGGCAGTTTTCCCAGTGCTGTTCTGCTTTAGTCATATCGTGAAACAAAGCTCCTTAGTTTTTTATCGAGAAGTGACTTACAGCGATCATATATTCTAGCCTGCATTGTTTGTCCTCAAAGTAGAGCTTCTGTACACCTTGGCTAAAATACAGACAAACTTACCTTTTTGCTAACAGCTCCTCAGAATAATTGGCTGGTTTTTCCTGGTAAACATTTCCGCGAAAATTTGTCTGGATTTTCCTCTGGAATCATTAATGTATTATTTATTATTTTAAAATACAAGAAACTGTATGAAATGCTGTGCTCGCTAATACCTGTACAATGTACTGTTCCAAGAAAGCTACACAATCTCCACAGTAAGGGAAAATTGGAAAGATTGCCCAGAAATAAACCTTTCTACTAGTGGTCATCAGCTAATCCCGCTTTTGAAAAGTCACTTCATAGAACAATACCTTAGCAATACGAAAAAAAACCTGTTACTGTGCTGTTGAGGGACTCCTTGCTTCACAGTGTATCCGAACTCATAAAACGAGGACTAGAAGTGAATCACGTGCCTCGTATTCACTCAGTGTGGCTTTTTGGCAGCGGAGACTTTCTCAGGAACTACAAAAGAGAAGTTGGAGTCTTACCTCTAGTTCTCTCTAGAGAAACAGACATCACATCAACACACTGTTTGCAACGCAAATGACGCATACAAAGTGAACCAAATCTTTATGTATGCTACCAAATTCTAGCTTCAGTATTACCAGAACAATACCAGTTAGGACTAGTTACGTGGCTAGAAGTCCCATGTTGGCCAGAACAGCTCTGTTTTTTCTGCACTTGTTTCTGACTGATTACCTCCCTGTTCTAAGCTAGACAGAACTAAACCAGATTTTCTTGCTAATCCCCTACGTAGATGACTTTAGGCTACAGTGAGGATGGCCTCCTAATTCACTGATATATTTCATTGTTCCCTCTGTCAAAGAGATTTTACAATGGTTTTTGTGTCTGCATCTGCTTTTGCTGGGAAGTCAAGCCACCATTTTCTCTGATCTAGATCATGGTATCTAAGCAGTACAATGAGTAATGAAAGGAATAATCAGATAGAAATAGTATTACTATTAACTGTACCAGTTTACAATGGTTTTTGTGTCTGCATCTGCTTTTGCTGGGAAGTCAAGCCACCATTTTCTCTGATCTAGATCATGGTATCTAAGCAGTACAATGAGTAATGAAAGGAATAATCAGATAGAAATAGTATTACTGAAAAAGCATTCTTCTTAAGGAGCAGTTGTGGCAAGTTACAGTTTTAATCTGATAGTTACTTTCCTAACTACCTTCAGACTTAATTATTGTTGGTTCAGGACTTTTTTCTGGTTGGGTTGGGGTTTTTTTTTGTAATCTTTCCTAGCAATTCCTTTGCTACCAGGTAGTGCCTTTAGAACTACGGTAGAGTTTAATTGTAACTGTGTACAAAGTTGCATGTAATTTGAGGCAATATAAGCTTTTTTTCAGTGCCAGGACTCAGCTGACCCATGCTATCCCTCTCCCAGGTGTGGTGTGCAGTTTTGCACATTGCGCCATCGCTAATAGCCATCGTTTTCTGCCCCAAGAGACCGGAACCCTGTTGTCTCCTGTGTGCTTGGGGTGTATCGCTGGAGCCTCTTCCTTTGAATAGGGCATTCGCACGTTAGTTAATTTAGAATCATTGAGCAAATCCTCTTTGACTTTTGATGAGGTTGCAGAGGGAAAGACGGACTCAGTGGGTTCATATTTTATGCTCCTCTTTGCAACTAAATTGACATTACAGATGTGGTAGATAGTTTTCTCTTTAAGCAAAGGCTGCTGAAGAATAAGTCCATATCACCTATCTAAATGAACATTTCTAAAGTTTGATCATAGTATACAGAAACACATGTACGACAACTTTGATCATAGTATACAGAAATAAGACAACTAATAAGAAATTGGAAAGTGAACAGTAGTGAGATTTAGGGGTAGCAGTGAGGAGTGATGTTCTGTAATAGAAGCAGAACCTAGAAGACCAAAAGGATATAAAAGTGCTGAACATACAAAATCAGGATGTTTAACTCCATTTTTTTAAATTTCTTTGGTCAGTTAGCCTGGGGGTGCTCATTTTTTCAGTTGTTTTTTTTTTTTTATTTTATTTTTTTTTTTCAGAATTCATCCTTCTAGTGAATTCTTGGAATTATATGCATATTCTTCCCCAGGGCTGAAATTCCTCCTCCTGTCCATATTTCCGTAAGACAAGCTTTCTCTCGAGAGAAAACTTTTTCACCTTTCTAGAATGACCATTTGTAAGATACAGCAATGCATCCATTTTATCAGTGTAACCCATCATCTTGCCGATGGGAACAGGGAATACACCTGAAAATGGAAGGCACTTTTTCTTCCCTATTATGTAGGTCATTTGTGGTAGTGACTGATTGGGGCACTCCTTTCTAGTCGAGATAAACCATTATTTAAAATAAGATACAATTCATCAGTGTTACCTACCTAAGTGCAATCAGCTGCCTTTGCAGGAGCACCGTGACTCTTAGTGGAAGGGAACTCTCGTGAAACAAGTAAGGAAGGGAAAAAATAAACTGAAAGTCAGTGGAAAGGGTGAGGCCATTTTCTGTGCAGCCAAGAAGCTTCCTGTCTGACTCTGAGTGGCTCCCTCTCTCCTTTCTTGCCTGTTTCTGAATTTCATCTTTTCTATTACTGGAGGTGAAGGCACCTAAGAACTTTTCGTTGGAAAATAATGGGAACGGTTTTGTAAAGTGCATACTTCAGGAAAGGTTTTTTTAATCAGGCCGCAGAAGTGTTTCTACCGCACCTGACCCCCAACGTAACTTTCAAGACATTATTTTTCTGACTAGCATGTGTAATAAAGAAACTATAACACCAGCAAGTTCACAAATCCACTAAGCCAAGCAGACTGCGCAATATTCACCCTTCTTTTTGCACTGTGGTTAACACCAGCTGATTTTCTTTTAAAAATAGCAGCGCTGAACTGTTCTGACAGGAAAGCTGACATTAACCCCATGTTTTTGAAAATGGGGACAAAGGTGGAGTCGCTCTTGCTGCCACTAACTGAATCCAAGCAGTTAACTCTTTCCGCGTTGCCACACCCCTTGCAAAGCTTTGAAGCTCACCTCCGACTATAGCGCATCGGGTGAAAATAACAGAGAAGCCAACCTTCTGGCAATTTTTCGTGTTGCTGTGCTGGGAGTCTTCTTCTGTACTTAATCTTTTGGCACTTTTTGCAGCCTCCATTAAGACGCCTGCACTTTCGAAAGAAAATGTCGAGTGTTTGCACTGCCTTGTAGTGAGCCTGCGTTATATTTATGAGATAAGCGATGCAGCCTTACTGTTTGTCTTTATGAATGGCTGCTTATCCATCTGCAGCATCACACAGGACTAATTGCAACTGCCAGGACATTACAGAATAGTCATGACTTCTAAGGGACCAGAGCGTGAGAACTATCTCCAAAACTTGCCACTAGCCATTGGGGGGGGGGGAGAAAAGAGGAGCACAAAGCCTGAAATGAATTTAAATCGATGACGCTGATACTACTTCCCAGTGATGTAACACGTATCACCCTGTAAACCGCTGCAGGCATGGCCAACGTTGTGGGCTGTGCTTCTCCAAGCAGCTTTGCGCAGATCCATTGTGCCAATCTCCGCCACCGTGCCCAAGAGGACTATTTCACAGCGGCTTTGCTAGCCAGTGCCCTTTGAGAACCACTCTCTAGCTGAACTACTAATAGGAAACTTGAGAGTATGTTAGCAGCATTATCACCCTATTAATGATTGCTCTATTTTTTTTCTCCAGCAAAATAGATTTCCAGGACTTTCCAGAGGAGGCTTCAATCTTCCAGTATAATGAACTAGTGCTAAGTTCGTAACCTGGCTGTAAATTCGGAGGGGGGGGGAGGCGTACAATTACTTTCACAGTTTCCTGGTACCAAGGAGAGCAGCGATTGTTGGGTTGTTTTGTTCTGTTTTGTTTTTCTTTTTTCTATGAATTCATTCTTTCCTAATGGTTCTTCATGACCTGGATTCATCCCCTTGAATATCCATAAGTATAATGTTGCCAAGGTGAATTTACAGTAAATCACTTGCTTTGGGTGCAGTATAAAGGTGGCGGAAGATTAATCCGAAGCGTAGCTGTTAAGGTCATACATATACTGTGGTATAAATTCACTTTCCTGATGTCGAAAAATATATATTTAATGGACTCTATATTAATGAAACAGCAGCCAGCTATTTTA